GGCCTTTTCAAAGGGTTAGTTTGAATCTTGTCTTCCTAAGAATAAATCCAGTGTCTATGCCTTGTGGCATTTCATAATGTTCCCCCAGCACCACACACTTCCACCATATCACATTGGTCCTCAACCCTCTCTCAGGGTCAAAGTGATAGCTGAAGAATGTATTTTATGGTTCCTTATTGATTCAGCTGAATAAAACTCTTTGTGTAACCAGTACTTGGCTGTGAGTTCCCAATTTGCTGAGGAGAATGGATATAAGGATGATTACTGCATATAGACTATGAACCAAGAAGCTAGACTTCCAAGTTATGGCCATGTCTGAGTTCTGTGCTGGCCTGGACACTGCTTAGTAGGACAGCAGCAAACTGAGGCCACTGTCATTCATCCATGGAGAATGGAGCATGGCCCTATCTACCAAACACAACCAACCTGACAACTTTCTGTTCCCAAGGCAAGGTCTCAGAGAGATTGCTTGCATATGACAGAGCTCCTTGGATAGATACCGTAGGGTGATACAGCCAAGGAAAGAACTCCCTGACGCTGACTTGACCCCAAGACCAGGGCCAAGGAAAAGAATACCACCAATTCCTGAGCTTCCCTCAGGAGCAGAGCCCAGAATCCCACCAATCCCAGGCCACCTGGAAAGTTCTACCTCCCAAGAAACCCTTATACAAAGCCTGCCTTCTGCTCAGATCCGCCTGTTTCTTGCCCCAGCAGAGGCAGCCACCCTTTTGTGTCTTTCCCAATAAATCTCTTGTGTGAGGTTTGTTGTGCAAGTGTGACTTTGTGGTATTCCGTGGCCCCTGACTGTCATGATACTTTTTCCCTTGGAGCTTTACCACTTATAGTTACCTTCTTGGGTTCAAAGAAGAGTAGAGATGGTACATAGAAAAAACCAAGAGACAGTGTAGGGCAGTGGTGGAGCATGCCTTTAATCTCAGCAACCAAGAGGCAGAGACAGGCAGATCTCTGTGAGTTCAAGCCAACCTGGCCTACAGAGCAATTTCTAGGACAGGTTTCAAAGCTACATAGAGAAACTCTGTTTAAAAAAAAAAAAAGCAAAAAGAAAAGAAAAGAAAAACCCTAGCCTAGAGGCTTCCCTCTCTTTGATGTATATCACATACACATTTAGCTTCAGGTAGGTTCTCACCAGCTCTATCAAGAGCTCTCAGGTATGTGTCATTCTAGGGACCAGAAATGGCATTTTGCTTGATATCCTAGATGAAGACACTTTTCAGGAGACAGTAGCTGTCCTCCTGTGTCCCTCTCAGGACTGCTCCCAGGAGCAGTCCTGAGAGGGACACAAGTGACTGTGCTGTTGTTGGTCAGACAACGCTGGCTCCCCAGAGCACTCTTCTCATTGAGGCTCTCACAGCTGTGCTGCCACATTTGTTAGCATGGGGCCCAGTGTGCTGTTAGCTTTAACTACCAATGCAACACATCCTAGAATCACTGGAGAAGGGAGATTTAATGAGGAATTATCAATATCAGATTGTTCTGTGGGTATGGCTGTGGGAGTGCTGTCTTTGAGGGGGGAGTCCATGAGGGGCATTGTCCATGAGGGGTTCTGAGATAGGAAGACCCAACCTGATGTAAGAGGTGCCATTTTCTAGCCTTGGGGTCCTGAATAGTATAAATGTTGAGAAACCCAGTTGAACAGAAGAAAGTAGGTAAGGGGGAATTTATTCTTTCTTTTCTATGGCTGTGGTTGTGGTGTGACTAGCTACTTGAGTTCCTGCCATGGCTTCCCCTTAGAGATGACTGATTTCTGAAATCGTAAGGAAAAACCAAAAAACCAAAAAACCAAAAACCCTTTCCTCCTATATGCTGATTTTTGTCAGGGTGTATTTGTCACAGCGAAAGAAATGAAACAAGTCATCTATCTCATCAATCATCCGGTTTAGTCTCTTTAACAGACCCAGAGCTCTCCATTGCTGATGGGCTCCTCATTCTTCACCACATCCAAGGTGAGGTTTTGAAGGATCAGAAACCAGACAGACCCCTGACAGACAGACAGGGATGGAAAGGAATATGAACAGATATGGAAGAGGGTAAGCTTCTAGGTTTTTCCTTCCATTCCTGTCTGGACTTTTCTCTCACCATCAGGGCTCCCTTCCAGCTGACTGGTCCAAGGCTGGTCCTGAGCTGTGGGTCTTTCAGTCTTCTCTCTTTGCTTAATCAGATCAACTCAAAACTAGGAGAAGGAGACTATCCCAGGCCACTCAAACCACTTGAAATCACCAACCCTCCACGTGGGGGTGTGGGTGGGTGGAATTTGTCTTCTCTCTGCTCTGCAGGGAGTCTCTCCCCATGTGCCTGCCGTGTGCACTTCTTCACTTCTAATAAAACTTGACACTTGTTGCTGCTTACTGTGTCTGAGACTTCTCCCACCTTATAATTCTTTACTTGGAGGAGCTCATAACCCAGATGATGACAGCTAGACGGTGATGGTAATAACCCAGATGATGACAGCTAGACGGTGATGGTGACAGTATCATCACCCAGCCTATTTTTCGCAGGAGTCCTACTGAATTGGTAACCCAGAACTCCCCTTTTAGCACTGAAGTGCCCACTGCCCTTCTGCTCTAAGTTTAGACTTGGCCGTGCTGGACTTAGAACTCAATGAATCTCTTCCAGCTACAGCAAGACACAATCCAGCCCCCACTTTTCTTAGTAGACAGTGGGTCCTGAGGGATGGAGTAGGGAAGAAAGAAGAGAGAAGAGTGTTGATGACCCAGCACAATCTCAGTTAGAGGCAAAGACAGAAGAGTACTCCATCCAGGGTCCTCACCTGACCCCATCCTCTGGCTTCAGTAGGAGCCCAACTCCTATCCCCTAGGGGACGTTTCCAGTACAGGGAGAAAAAAAAAGCCAACAGAAGGGTGTGGTTTCTAACAACATCAAGTTCAGGCAGGTGGAGGGAGCCAGTGATGACAGAATCACATTAGCATAAACATCCCCACCTAGTAACCTGCTATCCACATGGCTGCTATGTACTGCTAAGCCAGAGGGAGTCCCTAGCTGAAGGCCCTGTGACCTCATTATCTTCCTACTTTCCTTTCTTCTTGGTGACATTTTTAATGTGGTGTCTTGGAGAGGCACTGGCCACAGCAGGTAAACTTAGGAGAAGCATCCCTGGCCCTGCCTAATCACCCTTATGTCTGGCTATCATCAGTTGCATACAAGGGAAGTGAGGGGCTTTGGAAGTTTCCTTTGACCTTGGGAACTTATCCTTCAGTGCCCCATGGTACTAGATATGATGGTACTCCATACCCGGGAGGCCATGTCTGCTATCAAGTCAGATGAAATGAGGGCTTGGCCCTGAGATGGAGCCTCCCTACTGCTCTGTTCACTTTCACATTCATTTGTTGACTTCTGTTCTCTCATCAACTTTGCTGATGGTTCCCCACTCCTTTGGTAAGGATAGGCTCCAGAGAAGCATTAGTGGAAGCAGAGAGGACCCAGCAGTGTGGAGCAACAGGCCTGCCAGGTCCTCAGCATGGACGTCCAAGCTGGCTGGGGACTTGTGTGATAAGACAAGAAGACAGATGGGGCACCCAAGGTAGCCTCTCCATGTTAGTTTGGCCTTTCCCTTTCTGGAATCACCTGGGATGCCTTGGGGGCATAGAGGTTTGTTCTTAGAAACTCTGTGTCTGCTCCTGGCAGATGGGAAGAAAGCCTGAGTGAGAGTCTTGCTGACACTCCCTGAGTACATAGTTTTAAGGGTTCAGAAGAATACTTGGCTCCCCGGCATGGATCTCTTGACTCAGACAATCTGGGTTTACATCCTAGTTCTGTTGTGTGACCTTCACACGGTGACATGGGTTATCTGTGTCTCAGCTTCCTCAAAAGCTTAGG